AGCTCCTGTTGCTGAAGTTTTTAAATAATAACTAAAAAACTACAGCACCTAGGCCGAAGTTTTTGGTGCAATATCAATTTTTAATTTAGCCAGTGTAGGAGGAAAACTTCAGCTCCTCCTGCTGAAGTTTTTAAATAATAACTAAAAAACTTCAGCACCTAGGCCGAAGTTTTGGTGTAATATGATTTTTTAATTTAGCCAGTGTATGAGGAAAACTTCAGCTCCTCCTTCCGAAGTTTTTAAGTAATAAGTAAAAAACTTCAGCACCTAGGCCGAAGTTTTTTGATGCAATATGAATTTTTAATTTAGCCAATGTAGGAGGAAAACTTCAGCTCCGCCTGCTGAAGTTTTTAAGTAATAACTAAAAAACTTAAGCAACTATGCCGAAGTTTTTTGATGCAGTATGAAGTTTTAATTTATGTTTTATTGTTTTTTACCCAGTGTACGAGGAAAACTTTAGCTTTTAATTATTAACAAAAAAACTTCAGCAACTATGCCAAAGTTTTAAAACAATCATATAATGTTTTAATATAATTTCTTCTTCGATGTGTTATTTGCCAGCTCGTTAACTAAATAACTTCAGCTTAGAATGTTAGAATTCATCGTCAAATAGATTTAGAATTGCAAATTCAGCATATAATTCAATCAATCAATCAGAAAACATATAATTCAAAAACTATTTTTGAATTCTGGAGATGAATTTGAATACTTACAATGTATTTGTATTTGAATTTGAATTTGAATTTGGAATTTGAATATGGAATTTGAATGCGAGACGCGATCTCCGGAGAGACGGACTGATGGAGGAGATACGGAGGAGATCTGGAATTTGAATCTGGGAATACGGAGGAGAGACAGACCTTTATATGTTTTGGAAGGGGTATAATGGTCATATTATTACGGATTTTTTGTTAGTTGGTTACGAAATCAATAGTTTTTTAAAACAGGGTATAGGTTAAAAGGTGGCATAAAAATAGGATACGGCTGCAAATCGCCCCAATTTTTACCAATAATATCTGGGCTGGAGGCTTTCTGCTATGGGCCAGAGTGCAAATGTATTCAAGGATTGGGCCCAAATCCAGTGGCATCTTCTCCTCTCCTAGCTCCTGAACTGAAAACCCCCAAACCCATCTCCGTATCCGCCGTTCTCTCCTCCGCCGGCCGCCATATCAAAGTCCTCATTTTCCACTATTGAAAGGTGAGAACCTTGGCTTCTTTCACGTTCTCTTTTTTTTTTTGTTTGTGAAAAATCAAATTATTTCCATTTTTACGGAAATTTCAGTGTTAATTTCATGAAATTAATTGAGATCAGTTTGGATCAGGAGAAGGATGTCGTTCATGAAAGGTGATTTGCTAAGTAGAACGAGAAAGCTTGTCAAAGGCTTCGCCAAGGCCGAGCCTGTCTGGCTCAAGGCTATGGAACAGTACGTTCCTACTCTCCCTCTTTTTATTTTTCCTTTCGTTTTTGTTATACATATTTTTTTTATCAGTAAAAGATAATTTTATTAAATAACAGCATTATAAGTAGGTGCTGCAGTGTTACAAACAAAAGTAATTACATTACTTTCCTAATTCTGAAGCTTGCTAATGAAATCCAGCATCCTCAATATAGTCATTCTTGCACCAGAAAGACAACACTGTTAGCTAGGAATTTGTATTGTATCCCTACTGATTGACTCTGCTTTGCTATCAAAACTCCTAACATTTCGTATGGTTCCACCAAATACAAGCCGCAATTGTTACCTGTATCTTCTTTTGTGTTGTTTGCTCAAATCAGGTTTATACCAGCTTTTGAGGAAACTATGTTGATTTTGGCATTGACCATTTCACACCCAATATATTCAGGAACGTGTTCCATAATTCTTCAGTCACTTCACAGTGAAGGAATATGTGGTTATTTCCTTCAGTTTCCTTTTCACGTAAGTTAGCGCATGTTGTATCCTTTCCTTTGCTAACCTCCTGGGACGCCTACCATGAAACACATTTGATCTTGTAGGGAGCATTTGTTTTCCAAATCTTTTCCATTGCCACTGCCTCAATTGTGTATTTGTTAGTGTTAGGGCCTTGTAACAGGATTTAGCAAGGGAAGTTTCCTTCACTTTGATGCTTCCAGAATAACTTATCCTTCTCGGTATGCAGCCCTGGTATCCCTGTAAAAATAAAAGAACCCAGTCATTGACATTCCTTCTCAAAGTTATGTTCCATCCTGTGTCTGAAAAGTACCAGTGCAACTTTGCCTCCTTGTTCTGGCTAATTGAAAAACTTCAGGGAATTGCTCCTTCAAAGGTAAGTGACCTCTCGAGTTGTCGTGCCAGAATGCTATCTTTCTTCCATTACCTGGACTTTGATGAGCAACAGGCTTCTAATATAAGTGTTAAAATGCTCGTAGGATTCTTAGGCGTAATTTTGCTATAGATTTATCCATTTTGCCTTGAAGTATGAAATTGTGCTCGTAATGCTGGTTGTTGCTTGTCTTTTGTTTGAAACCAGGGCTCCACCGGCAACATTCCCTCGTGCCGAAAAGAAACTGAAACCCATCAGTCTACCAGAGGATGTCTATATCAAGAAGTTCTTCCAGAAGCATCCAGAATCTAAACACGAGGATGCTATTAAGTATGGCTTCTAACCTATTCATGGCTCTGAGTATGTATTTTTGGACTCCTACAACCATCAGATAGTAGCATTATAATGTGCTCAGATAATATTACCCTTGAGGTGTATGCCGTGTTATACTGTTGATCCTTTAGTTTAGGGTCTCAACTTGAATGTGTAGGCTTTAATCTTGATAGTTTATCATGCAATATGCTGCCCATCAAGGGAAGAAGTAGGGAAAGGTGCTACTAGTTACATAATATGAAAAGTACTATATCAAGAAGTAAAAGTAAAAGATCATGTATGGTCTCAGCACATCTTATGTTGTCCACTCGAGGATAGAATCAGTATTTTATGTTATTCGTTATTTTCCTATAGGAGAAGTTGGCATGTTGAATTTACCTTTTTGCACAATTGAGGCTTTATTTTCTTAATACTTCTAACAGGATTTCCGGATTTGATCCTCCTCCAGCCCGTATATTCGGGGGGCGAGTGCTCGATTTAAAGGAGCAGGGGGTCAGTGAAGAGGAAGCAATGGCTGTTGCTGATGTACGTATTTCGTCTTTCTATATTCAAATTCGTTGAGGCTCAATCTTCTTCTAGGATCTCTCGTTTAAAAACTGTGTGGCTTTGTTGTTATAGATGGAGTATAGAGCAGAGAGAAAAGCAAAAAAGAAAGCATATTCTCGACTGAAGCAGATTGCACGACTTCAAGGGAAGAAACCACCTCCTAATCCATATCCAAGTGCTATTAAGGAGATACAAGCTGAAGAAAGAAAGTTTGTGCACGATCGTTTCTATAACCGAGATATTCTTAAAATTGCGGAGAAACTGAAAGAGGAGAGGCAAGCAGAGTTGCAAGATAGAAGAGGTGGAGGTGGCTGGTAAAAGCACATGGTCTTGTTCAGTTGTTCTAATAGGTTTTCTTTTCACTCTTTTGATGATTCAATTGTCTATCCTGAAATATTTAAACCTCTGTCCAAGTGGTTATACTTGATAATTTTATGATATCATTTCATCATGTGTTACAAAGAAAACATTTAATTTCTCGTTTATGTGGTAGGCATGGAATTCCTTTTTTTGAAGAATAAGTGAGTGTTATCTCTCACCTGCGTTGGACAAATTTTGAGTATTATTTTCTTCTAACTACCTGTCATGTATTGTTTATTGCATTTTCCTTTCAAGGGAGGTTACCCCAGCGTCAGTTATAATAATGAGAGATTTCTTCTCAACTTCTTACCCGGTGTAGTAAAGGCCAGAGATCTCTTCTTGGTAGCAATCTCAGGCATTGGCAGTTCTAACAACGTATTACGCATGTTTAATTAGATAAAAAAACTTAATTTTGCATGCATTATGTTGCTCGAACTCTCCGAAAATGTCGTCGGGTGCGTGATGGATCCTCCAAAAACTAGTGCATTTTTAGAGGATCCGACACGGGTGCAGCAACATTTTGGAGAGTCCGCGCAACATAGTGCATGCATATATTACTGAGTCTTCTTGAGATTACAACTTGCTGTGGAACTCTCATAACCTTCATCTCATGTGACGGGGGCAATGTGTTCCTCCACCGTTTAGCCAATGATTTGTTGCAGAATCAGTTACCGACACAGGAAAATTCATCTTTCGAAAATGCAGTGTTTATTGCATTATGAGTTTCTTGCCCCACAAATTTGATGATGGATGTTGCAGGTCCTAGTCAATGTATGCAAATTCCATGATGTGGTAGTGTATTCATGCTTGGACTAATTGTGTAGAAGTAGCTTTCAAAGATCTACAAGCTTTTACTTTTACTTTCTCTACACATTGAATTTCTCTGGCTGCTAGTGTAAATTTATACTTCTGGTTATGCTTCAATGTCACTTCTATAACTATATGGTCGCCATGTTTCTTTGTATCTTCGTTCTGCACTTTCTTCGTTGCTAAAGTAGACATAAGAGCAGGGGAGATTGGTCCATCCAATAGCTTTGGCTGATTTTGTGCTGGAGTTTGATTTTGAGTACTGTTGTTAGAATGGGCGTTGGTGTAATGGTTTATCATTCATTTGTGTATTACCAGTGTTAGATGCGAGTGAGTGCATCAATATTGATTGTCTTTAGCTTCCATATTGATTGTGATTTAAGAGAAGACTCCAAAAAAATCAATACAAAAAAGAAATGTATCTTTACCTAGTTAAACTGATGATTGCTAATCCCAACTATTGGGATCACAGTATAGGAATATATCACCATTAGACGATTTGAATTCAAAAATTTGCCGAAGATTCATTTCAATATGTTTTCAAGTTTTGCTCTTAACTGTCAACTTAAAGAAGGGGGAAAAAAACATAAAATTGACAGATCAAAATACATGTATCAGGACATAACTCATGCCCAGAGCAAGAAAATAACTCTGATTTGCCAGGAAAAGAATCAAACAAACAGTTAACAACTTTAAGATGACCAGGCTGCTGCTAGAAATCCATATGGACGATACAAGTAGCAATTTTGTTTCTTCAAGAGCTTATTTCACGATTAGATGTCACTTCCAATATATGGAAGTATGTGTTTGCACTGAAAAATTGGTCTACAATTGTCGAATGGAGCTTTAGCAAGTCAAACCTCTCTATTTACAACAATGGAACCTACATTCCGTGAAAAGAGTTCCAGAAAGAATTTTATAACTGTTGGCTATGTACTAGTGGTATCCAACTAGACCGATGATCTCAACAATCAAATAAATGCAAGCCTAGATGGTTGCTTAGTCAGGAAATATTGTAAAAAGAATGCTGATACAACAGATGTGGTGTGTTTCCTCCTATACTGCCCACGCAACACTTCTCCAAACATGAGGCATGCCAGTGCTAGAATGAGTTGAAGGTGTCGGCACGTTTACTAACACGACTCGCAGGAAGGCATGAATTACAATGTTCGGAGGCATCAATGACACAGTGTCTCTCCATAGTTTACCCAACGTACAAAGCTATCTGAAAGTTCCTCGACAACTACAAAGCTTTGGGCATCACCATATGCCTCTGCTCCAGCATTTTCGGTTCCCTGCAGATAATGAATTCTATAGTTGAATATCAAGCAAAGAGAAAGTAGATAAGACTGCCCAGCAACTTAGACATACTAATATAGCATTAATTAATTGTTAATAAGGTGTCTTGTAAACTTTACCGAAAACAAAGACTGAGTCGGTCAAAACATGGCTTCAAATCAGAAGCGACTACAATCGTATGTCAAGGGTGACTGTAATGAACCAGCACATTTGAGGAAAGTTGCTAAAATTGTTCAGATAACCTTGTTCTTTTCTTCTTTTTTTTTTAAAATGAAAATAGCACCAATAGAGTGCTGGACATGTACAGGGAGGATCAAGGAAACATTTATTTTAATCCTTCAGGGAGTTATTTCAATGACATACTAGAAATAGTTGTTTCTCCACTAAGCAACACATTCTTCAACAACTTTTCCGTTAGTAGCTGCCCAGTTATCAATGATCACCCCCAACCCCACCCCACCCCCCCACCCCCCAAAAAAAAAACATTTCACTTTCAACCTATGACCCCTTTATATAGTAGAACCTAACTATTGAAATCCAAGATTTGCAGTTCGAAAAATAACTTAATAAACTGATTCTTTTTTGTCCAAAGCAGGGAAGTAAGGTGAAAAAAAGTATAGTACTCAATTTAATTGCAACCACCATATTACTAATTACATTGACAGTTATCATCAATCTGAAACCAATAACATAATTCCATTATATGTCGGAGTGACACCCATCACACCCCTAAAAGGAAAGTTCCACTTGAAGCATCCACTTGATCTGGATTTGTGGTCAACTAACACTATGCACGCTAGCACGCGATCAATACATCACCTAGGAGGCAAGGCTTTTATAAGCACCTCCTCATGCAATCCTTTTTTGGTGATATGAAGTAGCACTCAAGAACATCACTGGACTGGTTCGGCAAAAAAAAGAAGTGTAGAAGCCTTACTTGTGAAGTAACTGAAATACCAACATTCGTGCTACATCCACCTTCACTGGAGAATGGAGTTGTTGTTTCCCCTACTATGTCACTGACAACATTCTCTGATGATAGTCCACCTATTGGCGAGTTTGTGAACAAAGACCTACATCCATTGAAGGCATCAATGACATCGTTTCTTCAAGTAAACTAACATATACATCATATGTGCAATCGGTTCAAGATGGAAGAAGTCAACAATTACTCTTCCTGCAGTTCACGATTATGGAACAGCAACTTGACAACACCGTTATGAGAAATTTTAGAACACAGGGAAAAAGAAAAAGTGTCAACTGTCAATCCTCAACTTTTTTGAACCATCAAGATTAAAAACCACCTTATCATAAACAGATATCACCAGAATATTCATTTGAAGCAAACCTTTTGAACCCAAAAAAGAATACAGATTGGCAACAGGAATACTGCCCATAACATATCCAACTGATAGAGCATGACCAGTGGTAAATTATACAACCCAAGAAAATTAAAGGCATAGTGGAAAGCCAGTGAATTCTAAAGGGTACTAAAACTGATAGCAGGTTTAAGAACTTGAAAGCAATCCAATCTCCTATTTCACAAAAAATTAATTTCACTGCACAACACTTTAGTCTTAAAAGTAGTGAACATTTTGGAATGACCTAAGTGAAAAGGAAAGCATACTAAAACATTAGAAATATCAGAAAATAGATAATTTGGATTCACAAAATCAAGAGTTGCATAGAAGAGTAGTGAACATTTTGGAATGACCCAAGTGCAAAGTTTCTCAGGCTCTCAGCTAACTGGGTTGATGGGAGATATAAGTTTTATGTTTGAAAAATGCAGAAATAAACATCGTTTCATTAACGGAATCAGATTAAAAGATGGCACAAGCAGTGACTTAGTTCCTCTAAGACTCTAAAGCCAACTGAACTTGAGAGAATTTAAACCTCAACAAAACATGTCATAAGAAAGCAAATATCCCAGATGTAATGTCCAGCCTCACCTTATTATCCAAAAACCTGAAATTTAAGTCAATCAATTACCTGTCCAATAACTCTTCCTCACAGGAATTCCCAGAAGAAGACAACCAATCTAAGTCAACAAAGTTGGAGCAGTCATATGCATCTGCATTTTGGTGTTCCAGGGATCGATCTCTTTGCATTTCTACAAAAAGTTCCCTTGCAGGAACTGTTTGAGCATACCTGCATAAAGAAAGATAAATAAGCAGAGCAGAAGGCGAGAAAGAAAACGATGTATATGGAAGTTTTTACTTTCTAGGATAACAGAAACTTAAACTAGATTTTCATGCTAAATCTAAATTCATTTGAATTCTCAGAAGTCACACTCACTTGTGCATGCAGTGAGAAACAAAATCCATAGACCATAGATCAACTAACCACAGAAATAATGGCAAGACAACACACAACTATTGCAGATTGTGGTTTCTTATGGCTTACCTACACTTTACACTTCAATCAGACCTCAACTTCCAGCTTGTCATTCCAAACTTTCACTACAGTGCATGCGTCAAATGTCAGCTAAGCTGTTACTGTGGCACTGTAGCATTGGCAAACTGAAAATTTACACTACTAAGGTTTCACCTTGCTGGAACCTTTTCAGGAAAAGGAATCATCACGCGCTTCCTTGTCTACTTGGTAAATCGAGAATGAAAGTTGAAGGAACTCAAACATTGGTAAGGTAGTGGGGCACGTTTCAACTAGTTTTCATCTGACTTACCAAAGACTAGCATGGCTTCGTATGGGCTTGGAATCAAAAGAAACGCAATAGGGTAATCGAATAAGGGTTGGGACAGGATCCCTTGATAACCCCAGGACTCTAAATTTTTTATAAGTGACATCATTGTATTAACGAAAAAGGGTCAAAAATATCCTTAAACTATTTGAAATAGACCACTTTTATCCTCCGTTAAATTTTGGTGCCAATTCAGTCCTCGTTGTCCAAGGCTGAATCTTAACCTTGTCTAATCAGATGAATTAGCCGTTGAAGGGTAATTTTGACCCTTTTCCGAAATTTTAATCCTCCTCTTTTAAAATTCATTTTAAAGTTTTATTATTTTCCCTTTTCTCCCCCTCCCCCAGGACTCTAAATTTTTTATAAGTGGCATCATTGTATTAACGAAAAAGGGTCAAAAATATCCTTAAACTATTTGAAATAGACCACTTTTATCCTCCGTTAAATTTTGGTGCCAATTCAGTCCTCGTTGTCCAAGGCTGAATCTTAACCTTGTCTAATCAGATGAATTAGCCGTTGAAGGGTAATTTTGACCCTTTTCCGAAATTTTAATACTTCCTCCTTTAAAATTTCATTTTAACGTTTTAAGTTTATTTAGTTTTTACCCCCCTTACCCCCCCCCTACCCCCCCCCCCCGCGTCAATCTCAGCAAATAAATTCAAATAACACCCCATTTGGTTTCTTCAAGCTCTTAAAACCCATCCACGGTGGTTTAAAAATTCTTCCACAAGCTGCTCCAAAATCAGTTCAATCTTCATGTTTAAGTACCAATGAGTAACACTGATAATTTTCAACAACAAACAACCTCAATCTTGTAAGTTTTCAGCACCAGAATTTTAAATCTCAAAGTGAGTTTTCTATTTTCATCACTTTTGTTACACCCAAACTCCAAATCAGCGTATAACTATGAATCTAATTACACATCATTGTATTTCACCTTCAAACATTTTCGGTTTAAAAAGAACCCACATCCGAATATGTTAGCTCAAAATGGATTTTCAAATTTTTTTTTTCAGAGTTGTTCGCGCCAACTCTAAAACAGTGTTTAGCAATTAGGTTTCAAGCTCCAATTTCAAATTCGACTTAAGTTCACGAAAGAATGAAACTGGATTCTGAATGAAATTTAAAAAGATATCAGTCCAGATCTCGGCTTAAGTTCACGAATCAGCACTCAATAATTCAAGCTCCAATTTCAAATTCGCTGAACTCCCACTTCGAACAAAACCCCTCAAATAGTGGCTAAATCGATACTTAGCACAATGTGGTTTCAATCTCCCCCCAACAGATGCAAATCGACACTTTTCTTTTACTTTTTGTTTGACGATTTTGCCGCAATATTGCTACTATGTATTGGAGCAAGAATCTCACTGAAGTGGGGAAGGGGGAGAGAAAGAGAAAAGAGAACAAGAAAAGAGTACTAAAATTTCTGAAAAAGGGTCAAAATACCCTTCAACTATGCTAATTAATCTAATTAGACAAGGATTAGGGTTTAAGATTCAACCGTTAAAACATAAGGATAGAAGTGGTCCAAAATTTAGACAGCGAGGACTTAATTAGTACAAAAATTTAATGGAGGGTAAAAGCGATCTATTTCGAATAGTTAAAGGGTAATTTTGGCCCTTTTCTGTTTTATTAGTTCTGTTCCAACACCAAAAGTGTTGAAGTGCGTGACCATCTCATTTAAAAGCTCAAGCTTTTAGATGAGATGATCACACACTCAACATGGTATCAGAGCAGGTAGAGGTAGTGGGTTCAAGTCTCACCGTCACTCATTATCAAAAAAGAATTTTTACATGCTTGGACCATAAAAAAGAATCAAGTTTGCACGTGATGAGGCGCGTTGAAGACATAACTTATTTTTCACATACAAGCGATATCTATTAGATTTTATTCTTGTTAGAGAACTTCTAATATATATATATATATATATATATATATATATATATATATATATATATATATATATATATATATATATATATATATATATCTTTTTTTCGCTTTTATATTATTTGGTATGATAATGACATGAGTTGAGCTTAAATGGAGAAGTGAGGACTCACATAGGCGACGCTTAACTTGTTTGAGACTGAAGTGTAGTTGTTGTTGGGGAGAAGACAATGGGGTTAAGTGAGAACCCATCTCAGAACCACATGACACGATTTTCAGGTCAAAATTGAGTTCCACGTATAAAATAAGAGCAAAAAAAGGAAAAAGTAGAGACACAACTAACAAATCCTAATTGCACAATGATGTTAAGAGTAGTCCAAATTAGCAAGTCACTAGATAATACATTGCAAAACAAGCTATGGATCCATAATTGCACAGAATTATAAAGATGCATCACTGAATACACTTCCTTCAATCAAATATGATGTACCTTGAATATGTCAAATCACTTCCACAAGTTGATATTTCTGGTGTTGATTCAGAGAGCACTTTGCTCCCTTCTTTGGACTGATTAGACAGGTTAGACTTAGAGAGACCCTTTCCAATACTGCGAGTTGAAATGGGAAATTGACTTTCATGCAGAATATTTCCATCTGAGAATGATCTTTGGAAGAGCGACCTGTTTATCACCGTAAGAATATACAGTTAACCGTGCATACTTTAAAACAGCAATTACAGGAAAAGATCAAGCCAAACTAGCATTTCTGCCATCTCTTTTGTAACACATTATCTCAGCGTAAATTAATTAAGCCTTGAAAATGCAACGGAATATCGAAGTCTTTGGAATGAAATAGACCATTAGTAACTTTCACAATATTTGTCTCATCCTAATCTGGATGGTAAATATCCAATCTATGAAACACAAGAAAGTTAAAGGCATGACACCACAGCTTTGACCATTATACCTTCCATTGTCACCAGCATAGCTTTCGCCATTCCTACCCACAAAGTAATGCTGATCGGAGTCCAGTTCCCATATATCACGTCCACCCTCTTGGGGCTGAAAGTGTCCCAAAAACCTGCTCATAAAATGTCATCAAAATGTCAAGTTGCAGACCACAGCCATTTTTCATATTATCTGAAATTTCGAGCAAGTGGGCAAACAGAATATTGAAAGAAGAGAAGCTGAACTTAAAGGATTTGAACAAACTAGACCACTCACTCAGACTGCATTGACACATAAGAAAAGAAAGAAAATGCGCTTACACATTAATAGCATTTTGTTTTTCTGTATCCATGTAGGCATTGCTGTAATATCTCTGAAGAGTTCTAAAGAACTCCTGCGATTGAATAGCAGCTTTCCACTGGCCCCTCTTCGCTGAAAATATCTACATGACACATTCCAACGTTGTCAACCAACCCAAGCTTAAACTATTAACATTGGGTGAGAAAAGATAAAACCTACACGTGTAGAATGCCCTGGGCTTTGTCTCCATTAATATCAAGGAGGCATATAATAGCTAATAAAAATGAGGCAAGAATGACTAAATTTTGGGTCCCTACCATTCTCTCTTCTTAAGTTTCATTTTCTGATTGCTGCATCGTATCTTCTATTTACATAAAAAAGATCTATTAGGTCACTGGTTCTACTTACAAGTCAAAAGGTTCTTTCCTTTCTCAATTTGCAAATGAGATGAAAAACAAAACAAAAGAAGAAACAGAATGGCAATGTACAAATCACATGAAATCCCCACCCATGCACCCCCTGAATCGACATTATGGAAGCATCTAGTAACAATAACTTCTGTGATATTTTTCATTTTATTTATTTTAAAAAAAAAAAAAAAACTTCTATGCTATTATTATCTACCATGGCAGTAGAGTCAGGATTGTAGTGTGGTGACAACATAATCAGACACCAGCACAATTCAAATTTCAAAGAAGATAACTGAAAGATTTATAGATTATCTACCTCATTAATCATTAACGCAAATGTTTTTCATCACAGTCTAGCCAACCTAATAATTTGCAAAAAGAAAATTAGAGAAATGGAAGATTGTTTCATAATAGCAAGAATGATGAAGAAAACCATAAAAGTTCTCTTATTTCATCTGTATTTTGGTGTAAGGAAAGAACCATATTAATTGATAGTTGGACAACTTAATGGACGACTGTGAATGACTCCGGTTGTGTCATTTTAGCAACTTATACACATTTTTGACACCTATATTTTCTAAATGAAATTATTGATTCATAAAAATGCGCAAAAAGAAAGGAAAATGCTAAGCACTAGCTTTACCTTGTTGTGAGCTGCAGAGCCACCATATTGATGAGCAAGTGTATCACCCATCCTCTCATAGAACCCCATTAATTCTTCTGCCAAAGGATCATCAAGGTCTATCTTTGTTGAATTTGTAACTCCTAAAACATGGAGTTGATGACCCAAAGCAGCCAATCCATATGCATATTGTGCCACATTAGTACGATCCAGACAATCTATGCAATTTGTCCTTAGCACCCCCCTTTGGNACTACTACCAACTTTTAACCTTTTCCCTCTAGCGTATCTGAATCACCGACGTCATTATTATATTGTTTCTCAACATCAGGGTCAAAATGTTTCAAAGGAACCATATTACTAGCAGCAGCATTCCTGTGCCACATCATTGCAACTATTTTTAAAAACAATTCTAAGTGGCTCAAGCATACAACAGAAAACCTAATGTATATGCAATTCAACTTTATCCATTTTTTATTGACCTACTTTAGATGGTAGCTCACATCAACATAGAACAAGAATATTTTTTCGTATCATCTTTGGGAAACACAGAAGTGCAGAAATTCTATGCTGCATCACTGAATATGGAAGAGCTTTTTGACTCTTGTCGTGAACCCAATGACTTGAAAGATAACAGATGGCATCAAGAAAATATACAGCAAGGATTTATATAAGGAAGCAAATGATCCAGACGGTTGTATTATTGCCAATTGAAAGAGGCTGCAGAGAAGCGAGTGCAATTGTAATATTATGAAAAGAGTCGTACCGGACGTTGAGTATTCATCATTTAGGAATAGATGTATTCCCATCCCCTATTGGGAACAAGAATCAATGCACAAGGATAGATGACGAGGGCTCCATTAGGAAATGTTGGAAAGCAAGTTAAAACCAGCAACTAATAGTCTAAAGAGTCTTCCCCTACGCCCTTCGCATTCGACTCGGCTTTTCAACCACACTAGGACCTACTTATGTATAAAACATCTGTCCCTTTGTCCCATCTCATAGGATAAAATCTGATCCCAAGGAAACAATATATATTGAATCTTAAATGATGATGAATAAATACTATAGATTTTAAAAAGAAATCTATTTATATGTTACAAAAACAAAATAGGTTTTAAAAAGAAATAAAATATCAATATGTTTCGTTCTTATATCAACTTAATAGTTAATTTTAAAACTAACTAATTATTCATGTATATCAAAGTAATTCCTTTAAGTATAAGCCTATCCCTCCATCATGCCATCCGACAATAATGGGGACTAAAACCTAAATCTTTTTGCAGCATTCCTCCATAAATTCAACATCAAATCAGCACAAGTTTTCCCTTTTGCAGCACAATCATATGGCTAGTGAACCTTTGCCTGTCTAGATTGCAGCAGCCATGGGCTGATCACTTACACTTCAAATATGACAAAACCAATATGTCAAATGCCAAAAATGAGATGTCCCAAAAGTTTCAGCCCATTGCCGTCTTAAGACAATTATACCCAGCTAAACAACTGAGATGACCGGCACAGCATAAACTACTGTGCTTTAGCAATTCCGAGTATATTGGTTTTCTCCTGGGGTAATTTCTTAGAGTGTGTTAGGATGTACGCTACCAATAACTGATCCAAACTTCAAACACATGAAGTTCAAGTAACGACGGTCATTACCACCCCTTTGATGCAATTTGGCAAAGATTTACATTCATTCATCCATAAAATTTACAAAAGCCTCTAAGAATGGATTAAAAAAGGGGATCAACCGAAGGAGGATAATTAATGCACACTACGCCAAAGAGGAAACAAAATCCTAAAGATTCAAGACCATGACAAATAATAATACAAAAGCGATGGGTTTTCTGACAGCTGCATAGAGGAATAACTACCAAAAAGAAGTAAATATGCTAATAACTACCAAAAAGAAGTAAATATGCAAGAAGAGGGATAAGGTAAAACATCATTGAGAATGAAACACCATAAGAAAGATTAAACTTTGCTGACGATAAGGAATGTGAATGGCCAATTGGACATGATGTAAATAATCAACTCAATTGTATAAATGTGCTACCACATAAAATGATAAAAGCAGGTTATTTGTATAGAAATTATGTCTTACAAGTGCTTGCAGATTTGTCAAATGGGATGAGAAACTTACTCAAATATGGGCCATTTCAGACATCCCTCAGATCTTAAGGCTGGTGTTACTTGACAATAGAAGAAACCAGTCAAATTCAATGCATATGTAGCCACTTTTCCCAGAGAAAACAAGACATTTGTAGCTTTGCTGGAAAGGGGAAAAAAGGAAGAGCAAAAGTTATAGCAAATCAGATCTTTGAAAAAGAAGTTAAAGAAACAGAAATGAACAAGTCAATTACCTTCGTGAATGCTTGTTCAAATCCCAGTGGAGAAATCTAAGTCGATTCTCCTCAGACAGATCTTTATTGATGTATTCAATTGCATTAGCAAATTCGGTGCGAAGGATAGACTCCCGAGGCTTTTTTTCTTGGGTCTGCCAAAAAATTTCACAGTAGTGAGATGCTTTCTTCCTTATTCACCCTTCTTTTAGCAAATTAGCATGCCTAATGAGATAGGGTAGGGTAATCAGGTTGTTCAGGAAGAAGGCACTCTGCTCCTAAGAAGAAATGCTTTTACTTGCCCCTTAGGACATCATAACAGTCTAGTTCTGATCTTTTGTCAGATTATTACAAGAGAAAACAACAGGCTGACAAAAGCATCCCTCACCTTAATCAGATCCAAAATAATGATGGGGTTCCCATATCTCGTAGCAAGATTCTCGAAATGAAGTCTCGTAGCTTCATATGTCTGGTCCCTCTTTGACACTAAATGACAAACACTAAGTTAACTGAACGGCAGTTTTAAATTCTTACAAAGGGAGCATGAACTTGCTTGAACATACATATAATATCGGGCTTGATATTTAGTCGTGAAGTTTCCTGAGACCAAAAGAGTGGGATAGACCCACGATTTTGAACAGCAGAACTAATATGCACTGGGAAATCTTCTGGAACATCCTCAAATAGAATCTGCTCAGTCTCAACATCATTTGCAACTCTACCCTTTTCATTTACGCCTCGTTTCAGATATCTAGAAAGGGGAAAAAAAAGTTAGCACCAGAATTGCAGGGTAAGCACTAAGAAGAAAGACAGTTATGATGTCCAGATGAGAAATATAACTAAAGAAGACTGATGGGAACGCCCAAGTAGTAGAACAGAAAACTGAAACCTATAGCATTGCATAATAGACCATGCTAAGAAAGTACAACACAATCACCCATTTAAGAGGTCCAATAATAGAATATCACAAGCCTGGGCATCTTTGTACAGTAACTCATAAAGTTATGCTGCAACCATGTTTGCTCTTCTAAACATAAGCTATAATAGCTCATTAGTAGCCACGTAGGCTATGCTATTAACTGCCAACCATGGATTGAAGGAACAAATCATACAGAAAATCAGCTAACGTGCCAAAATAGAATACCTTCTGCTGATGTAGACTAATCTTGAGAAAGTTGAGAAGATAAATTGTGAATACTTTTTGATAAAGACAAATTGTAAGTACTTCTACACACACACAATACAAAAAACTTTAAATACCACAACACTCCCGCCCACCACCACCACACCCCAAATATATTATACATATTATCCATGCAGAGGCCCAAAAGCATATGTATATTTTATAATGAGAACAGTACATTTTAAAATGTTTAATAGGGAAGAAAAAGGCTAATATACAGTAACCAAACAGAAGATATCACATGTTATATTCCAGAATGCATGACTGACATAAATGCACTCAAACATTATAGTCAGTTCTAAAAGTTATCACTAGTGACAAGATTGCAGAAATTGTCACCCTCCAAAAGCAAGACAAAAGATTAAAAAGTAGAAGATGAGAAGACTAGATCCTTCAATATGGGAGGGCGGGTTATGATAAGGATACCAGAGGCCTTCCATATGTCCCTGTTGGAATGGCTATGGACATCCGCAAATATAAGGGATGCACAAAAGAGAAGGAGATATTTGAAAAATATGGGAGATTGAGTAATGAGTAACAAGCCCTTATGAAGTAAGCTTCTGGAAAGGAATTATGAAAGGGAAAGCTTCTCTCTTAGTATCAAAATTTTTTTTTAATTAAGTCTTTCTTAGTACCAGATGAGAAGGGCAACTAGTTGGATGAGTGGTTTAGATATTTATTCCTGAACGAAGTATCTCCATGCCACGCGTCTATGATATAACAAGCAATAGATTAGCATCACCACTGGTTCTTTTTATTACATAGCCCATCTTGGGAAGTAAGCTTCCCAAGAGATATTCAGAAATGGGAGGGGTCAGATTTCCCAAATCTCTCGGTATGGATCCCTAGGGTACAGAGAAAGGGGTGTTTTTTCACTTAGCTTAGGGGAGGGGGTCGGTCGGTTCGATTCGGTTTTCATGAAATTCGGTTAGGCTTATTCGCTTTCTGATTTTTGATTTGTTGCACCAATATCCGAACCGAAATTTCTTCGGGTTTTTTTGTTTTTGCTTATTTGGTTCGGTCGATTTTCAGTTTGTTTCGGTCGGTTTAAGTATGTCAAAAAATATTCGAAAATGTATCACAGAACAAAGAATGAAGAATTTTGTAGCATCAATACTTATTGTACACTAAAATGTCCAGATCTTATCAGTTAAAGCACTTAAGGTTGAGCAATTATAGAGAAAGTGCAGCACCATGCATCAAATGTAGTAAACTCAACAAAATAAAACATAATAGATCTTGTCATTTATCTTTAGTCAAACAAAAGAATAGGCGAAGTGTTGGCTAGTCTCTCGAATAACATTCACAGACATGTTAATCCTAAGGAACGGAAGAGAACGCAAGGAGAACAGACGTGCCCTTGCAGGCTTGCAGCAGCAGGATATCCAATAACGGCAATTATTATGACTGGTAAATGGGAAATAAAAAATGGAATTGGAACCCTACTCCAATTATTATCCGATAGGCTAGTTAGTTTTAGATTTCAGAAATGTGAGTGAGAAAATTGCATTGGGCTTCAACGTTAGACTTCAGTTATGCCATATGTGGTTAAGGAGAGGAGAGCCCACCAGAGCTCTTATTAAGAAAGCTTATGGTTTGTGAAGTAGTTAGTCATGTTTAGTGTCCCATATCGGGAAGTAGATACCTATTATCATGTAATTACTGTATATAAATAGGGTTGTACAACACTTTAATCAATAATAAGATTTTTCTCCCGTGCATTCTCACATGGTATCAGAGCATTAGTGAGAAAAGATCGTTGTGCGTCATTCCAGCGACATCCGGGAAGAAATAACTCAGTCACCGTGCAATTTTCCAGTGACCTAAGTGATTGATTTGCGTCATCTTATGTTTGGTGAGTGTTGTGCACAAACCATCACCACCATTAGATTCAAAAACCTCCGGCGACCAAACCACAAAAAGATTCTCCGGCAACAGACGCCCCACGCGCCTCCACGGGACACCCAGATCTGCGATTCCGCCGGCTCGCCTGTCCCACGCGTCCGCGCGTGCGTGCTTCTCCGGCCATTTTTTGGCCAAGCTTCTTGAGGACAGCCTAGTCGCACATAAATTCCGAGTCCATTGGTACTATTTCCGACAGATTCCGACAACTTTGGAATTTTCCGGCGAGCTACAATGATTTTTCCGGCGTGAATAGTGATTCCCAGAAAATTTCTGCTTTTTCCGCACAATACATTCGTATCAGAAGCCTTTAACTCACAATCCGTTGGATCCAATGCATTGAATCCAATCCAGATGGTTTCTTTACCGGATTATATCGAGTTCCTTCAGTACAAAGCATGTAAACAGACAACTTCCGTTGTTCAAACTGATAGTAGCGTGACTTTTGTCTCCCAATCTTCAACCTCTGAGTCTTGGATCATTGATTCAGGTGCATCTGATCATATTTCTGGTAACAAATCTCTTTTCACTAGTATTTCATATTCTCAATCTCTTCCCGCAGTCACAATGGCCAATGGGTCTCAAACCATGGCAACTGCAATAGGTCAAGCAAGCCCACTTCCTTCCTTACCTTTAGATTCAATCCTCTATGTTCCCAATAGTCCTTTTAATCTCATAGCCGTTAGTCGCTTAGCCAAATTACTTAAATGCGCTGTTTATCTCTTGAAGACCTTGTTTTTATACAGGAACGCAGTACGGGGCGGATCATTGGTATCGGACGAATCAGATGGACTTTATTACCTTATCCTTGCAAAATCACATGGACTCGCTTCTTGTCTTCCCTCAATAACTTGTCTTGTCACCGATTCACCAGATTTATTACATAAACGGTTGGGACATCCCAGTTTGTCAAAACTTCAGAAAATGGTACCTGGTTTATCTCACTTGTCCACTCCAGAGTGTGAGTCATGTCAGCTCGGTAAGCATACCCGCTCCCATTTCCCTCGGCATCTTGATAATATAGCAGAGTCACCTTTTACTTTAGTCCATTCAGATGTTTGGGGTCCTAGTCAGGTCAATTCTACCTTGGGATTCCGCTATTTTGTCAGTTTCATTGATAATTATTCCAGGTGCACTTGGATATTTTTGATGAAAAATCGGTCTTGAGTTATTTTCTATTTTCCAGACCTTCCACGCTGAAATTCAAAATCAATTTGGGGTTTCTATCCGCACATTTCGTAGTGATATTGCCCTAGAGTATTTGTCTTCCCCATTTTAGCAGTTTATGAACTCTCATGGGGTTATTCATCAAACATCTTGTCCGTACACATCTCAACAAAATGGGGTAGCTGAAAGAAAGAATAGACATCTTATTGAAACTGCTTGTACCCTAGTCATACAATCTCATGCTCCGTTGCGTTTTTGGGGGATGCAGTTCTTACATCTTGCTATCTAATTAATCGTATGTCATCTTCAGCTATCCAGAATCAAGTTCCATTCTCTGCCCTGTTTCCCACTTACCTTTGTTCTCTCTTCCCCCCCGTGTCTTTGGAAGCACGTGTTTTGTTCATAACATCACTCCAGGAAAAGATAAATTAGCTCCCCGTGCTCTTAAGTGTGTATTTTTGGGTTAAACGAGAAAGCAAAAGAGGTATCAATGCTATTCTCTTGACCACCAGCGGTATTTTATGTCTGCTGATGTTACCTTCTTCGAAACCCAATCATACTTCAAAGATCCAGGTAATTACTTAGATATTTCAGAGGTGCTACCAGTTTCATGTTTTGGAGATTCAGTCACTACCTCCCCTTCATCTTCCTCTACAACTCCAGCTCCACACCTACTGCTCCAGTTGCCCTACCGCTCCAGTTGCAGCTCCACCACCTATAGCTCCAGTTCCACCACCTAGTCCAGTTCAACCTTCTGCAGCTCCACCACTCTTGACTTATCATCGTCGTCCACATCCAGCATCAGGCCCAGGTGATTCACGTCCTGCATCAGATTCTGCACCTAGTGCGGACTTGTCTCCTCTTAGTCAACCAATTGTTCTCCGCAAAGGTGTACGATCCACTCTTAATCCTAATCCCCATTATGTCGGTTTAAGTTATCATCGTCTGTCATCACCTTATTATGCTTTTATATCATCTTTGTCCACTGTTTCTATCCCAAAGTATACAGGTGAAGCACTATCTCATCCAGGATGGCGACAGGCTATGATTGAGGAGATGTCTGCTTTACATGCAAGTGGCACTTGGGAGCTTGTTCCTCTTCCTTCAAGTAAGTCTACTGTTGGTTGTCGGTGGGTTTATGCAGTCAAAGTCGGCCCGGATGGCCAGGTTGATCATCTTAAGGCTCGTCTTGTTGCAAAAGGATATACTCAAATTTTTGGGCTTGATTATAGTGACACTTCCTCTCCCGTGGCTAAAGTAGCATCTGTTCGTCTCTTTTTGTCCATGGATGTTGTACGTCATTGGCCTCTTTATCAGTTAGACATTAAGAATGCTTTTCCCCGCGGTGATCTTGAGGAAGAAGTTTATATGGAGCAACCACCTGGTTTTGTTGCTCAGGGGGAGTCTAGTGGTCTTGTATGTCGATTGCACATGTCACTATATGGTTTGAAACAGTCCCCTCGAGCTTGGTTTGGTAAGTTCAGCACAGTTATTCAGGAGTTCGGCATGAGTCGTAGTGAAGCTGATCACTCTATGTTTTATCGGCATTCTGCTCCTAATCTGTGTATTTATCTGGTGGTTTATGTTGATGATATTGTTATTACTGGCAATGATCAGGATGGTATTACTAATCTGAAGCAGCATCTCTTTCAGCACTTCCAGACTAAGGATCTGGGCAGATTGAAGTATTTTCTAGATATTGAGGTCGCTCAGTCTAGCTCAGGTATTGTTATTTCACAGCGGAAGTATGCCTTAGACATTCTTGAGGAGACTGGAATGATGGGCTGCAGACCTGTTGACACTCATATGGATCCGAATGCTAAGCTTCTACCCGGACAAGGGGAGCTTCTTAGAGATCCTACGAGATATAGGAGGTTGGTTGGCAAATTGAATTACCTCACAGTGACTAGACTTGACATTTCTTTTCCGGTGAGTGTTGTAAGTCAGTTTATGGATTCTCCCTGTGATAATCACTGGGATACAGTTGTTCGCATTCTTCGGTATATAAAGTCAGCTCCAGGCAAAGGGTTACTATTCGAGGATCGAGGCCACGAGCAGATTGCTGGGTACACAGATGCTGATTGGGTAGGATCACCTTCTGATAGACGTTCTACGTCGGGATATTGTGTTCTAGTAGGAGGTAATTTGGTCTCTTAGAAGAGCAAGAAACAGAATGTAGTTGCTTGATCTAGCGCCGAAGCCGAATATCGGGCCATGGCTATGGCAACGTGTGAGCTAGTTTGGATCAAGCAGTTGCTCAAGGAGTTGAAGTTCGGAGAAATCAGCAAGATGGAACTGGTGTGTGATAATCAAGCTGCTCTTCAAATTGCGTCAAATCCGGTGTTCCATGAGAGGACTAAACACATTGAGATCGACTGTCACTTTATCAGAGAAAAGATACTCTCAGGAGATATTGTTACAAAGTTTATAAAGTCGAATGATCAGCTAGCAGATATTTTCACTAAGTCTCTTATTGGTTCTCGTATTAGTTACATCTGTAACAAGCTCGGTACATATGATTTATATGCACCGGCTTGAGGGGGAGTATGAAGTAGTTAGTCATGTTTAGTGTCCCACATCGGGAAGTAGATACCTATTATTATGTAATTACTGTATATAAATAGGGTTGTAACCCCAAAACCGATCACCGAACTCAACACCAAACTTTAGAAAATTATAAACCGCAAATCGACCGTATACACCGAACCGAATAAACCGAAATTATCGGTTCGGCCGGTTTTTCCAGTTCAGTCGGTGTCATGCCCACCCCTACTTAGCTAGCTACGAGAGGTTGATCTCAACGACGGAGAATATGAGAAAGAGGGAGATTAGTTGTGTCAATTGCTGCGTCATGTGTAAATACTTAGGAGAAGATGTGAATCATCTCCTTTTATATTTGTCGGATAGTGTCCTGTTTGTGGTGGGAAATCCAAAAAGATGGTTTGGACTCCAGACGTGATGTCAGGAACGGTGAAAGAAACAATGTTTAGCTGGACTTTCAAAAGACGGAACAGAAGAAGCAGGGCATGGGATGTGACTCCTCTAGCACTTAGTAGAGAGAGAAACATCAGCGCATTTGATTGAGTACAGAAAAGTTCTGCACACTTGAGGAATAGCGTCTTTATCCCTTTTTTTTGTGCACCCACAAGGTTCCTATATGTATAGAAGATTAGTTTTTTTTTTGTAGAAAAAACCATATTTTTTGTAACTTTTTGTTTTTTGGGTATACTTTTGTATAGATGTGTTTTTCACTCTCTTTTAATGAAATTTATTACTTTATCAGAAAAGGAATAGCGTGATGTTCTGAATTGAAAGAAAATTTAAGATGAAGAAAGATTTATGATTCATTTGTACTTTTGGCTCAAAGAAAGAATATCACTTAGTATAGACAGTTGGTTAGACTTTTTAGAAGATCAGTAGCATACGTACTCATGCCATATATACTTTTGACATTGCCTTGGTGAATCAATGGACGGAGTTTTGACTTATTAAAAAGAAAATAATAATCTGACAAGAATAAAACAAGTTATACTCATCTTGAATATATTCAACTGTTTACCTGGTACCAGCATAATGACGTGAACGTCTTGCTATTAGAGTCAACTTGAAGTCCCGCCCAGAGAGAGACAAAGTATCCTGAATTCACCAGAATAACTTCATTAATGGCCCATCTTAAGTATGCAAAATAGAATAAGTCGCACAATGTTGTTTGGCAGGGCTGCTCTTTGGAAACAAAAAACCAATCTAAGTGTCAAACCATCAAAGTAACAGTAAGAATAACTTATTAAAAAAAGTAACAGTAAGAAGAATGTATTATGCTTTAAACAAAGCAGCCTCGCATTTCAATCCCATAGACCTTCTTAAGTAGCAAATTATGTTGCAGCATGGTAACAGAGCTACATAATGCTTGGCATTTTTGCTGTGAAGGCTCTTCTGGCTACCTAGATTGCATAAGCACAGATGCAAACTCTTGATATAAGAAAAGGTATTACATGAAGAAAAAAGAAAAATAGAGTAATATATAATAATTAAGTATACTTAGTTTTAGTTATCAAAGTTGCACCTTAAAGTTGAAACTCTATTCTTACATGGTTGTTGGCCTTTAGCCTTTCACTGATGATTTAATTAAATATTGGACTTGGGCTAATGCCTAGTGGGACTACACTGGGTTTGTTGTTGTCGTTGCCAATGCCTAGTGGTATGTCTGGTTCAGTAATTAAGGCCTAAGGGCCAAACTGGTATGTCTAGTTTAGTAATTAAGGCCTAAGGGCCAAACATAAGGTATACAAATTTTGGATTGTCGAAATCCAAAAAAATTTCATCCTAAATTTGGAATTTGAACCAAAATCCAAATTTCAAAAACTAAAACCAAACACCAAATCATAATTCAAAAAAACAAACCAAAAGTCCGAAACATTTGTATTTCGTACGGGTTCCAATCTTTTCCAAGCTATCCTACCCATAGGTCTTGTGGTCCTTGATGTTCATTGCTCCCTACCTTTTTGGCACAATAGCAATATAGTATGAGTTCTGACTTTTTTCCGAACTTCCCATCTTTTGAAATGTAGCACTCTCCATCACCTCTCCCTTAATTGTGCACCAACATCTCGGAAGAAAGCCAAGGTAAAGCCATCTGGACCAGGGCCTTGTCACATGTACAACTCTTCACCTCCTCCTCCGGACCTCCGCAATAGCCCTCTCCAACCACTCCTTATATCTTCTTCGATTTGGTTAAGCACTACCCCTCCCAATTTACGTCTTCCACCGCGCTTACTCTCCATTCATATGTTTATAAAACGGGAATATTGCCTCCTTAATCTCCTCCTCCCCCTCATATGCTGCCTTATTATCTTCCATAGACTCTATAAAGTTTCTCCTCCTATTCAATACCGCTATGGTAGGAAAAAACTTCATAAAACATTTCGTCAACAAATCATCAAGTCAGCTGCCAAGGTGCAGACAAGAATAGGCTAATTAATCCTAGTAGGGGACATGCTCCAACCGGAAGGACCATGCATGTGCTAGAAAGACATATATATGATCATATGGATCGCTTTTCATAACTTTTCGGACTTTAGTTGCTAAGGTTTTTTCACTTAATGACCAGCCCTACTTGTCTTATAAGCCAAAACTATAGAAATTTCAATGTGTAGGAGCAACCCTTAAAGGAATAAGCAAGTAGGCAGGCACTTAAGTTCTTCTGAATATCCTGCCTCTGGAGTTCTGCATGAAATTCCTGAACCTTTTTTTTTTTTTGACTTTTCCCCTTTTCATATCCAGAGACCAATTTCCCTCACCATTCACCAGGTGAGAACAGCCCTCTGCTTGCTGCTGTCTATTAATATTTATGCTACTGTAGATAGTTAGTACTTGCATAAGTAAGTATAGTCCCACTTTGAATAGGATTAGTATATGTTGTGTATTGTTATAAACAGGGGTCCTTGTATAATAGTAAAACATATCAATAATATAATTCCCGTGTATTATTTCTCACATGGTATAAGCTAAGTTGCTCCGACACGGCAGTTTAGGTGCGACACCTTTGTCGAGACGACACTAGTATGGGTGTGGGTACGGGATCCGGTACGGATCTGGTCAAACAATTTTGGGTACTTTGGCCCCGACAGACGAAAAAATACGAGATGAGATACAATTTGATTCCCGAAATCAGAACCAAAACTCGGGTAAATTTGAAGAAAATAGCGTAACTTATCTAGGAAATCAATACTTATCTACAACTTGAGAATAAAAAAATAATGCAAGACATATGTAAGTATTCCATAAAATTTCTCATAATTTAGAGATATTTATATTTCTATTTTTTAAATTATTTTTAGTCGAATCCCTGCACCGTATCCGTACTAGGATTTGTATCCCTGAATCTTAAAATTTATATCTCGAAGGATCCGACCTCTAAATCCGCACCCGCGTTGGACACTCGCACCCGAATATGAGCAACTTAGGGTATCAGAGCGTTGGTGAGAAACATCGGGGAAAGAAAACTCTACCAGACAGTCGTCGTGCATCAATTTCCGGCGACTTCTAGGGCTATTATTGCGTCACCTACGTTTCCATCAATGTTGTGCTAAAACCGACACCACCATAGGGTTCTCCACCCTTCGGCGACCAAACCCACCCGAAAACTACCCCCTACGCGCCCGCACGCGCCTCCCAGAAGTGAAATTTTCCGGCGGGATCCCCCAAGCACCAGCGCATGAGCCATCTTCCAGCCAATTTCTGACGAAACTTCTTTTGAACAGCTTACTCGCGAGGCTATTCCGAATTTGTTCGTCCAAGTTTCATCAAATTCCAACAACCTTTTTTATTTTCTGGCAAGACCTATGCAGATTCCGGCGACTGATGAGTTTCCAGCGAACTACAATGTCTTTTTCTTCACTGTTCCAGTGAGTTACTATTGTTATTGATTTTCTCTGTTATCTGGTCCAACAATGTCTTTTGGACTTTACATTTTTTATTATAAAGCACGAGTTCTGGAAATTCAAGTTTGATGATTACTTTGGAACCCTTAATGGGAAGTTCAAACTACTTAGCCTGGGCTTCTTCTGTTGAGTTATGGTGCAAGGGTCAAAGTGTTCAAGATCATCTATCCAAGAAGGCTAGTGATGAAAATGAAAAGGCCAAAGCACTTGGGAAAAGAACAATACTCAATTATGTAGTATCCTATGGCGATCTATTGATTCCAAGTTGATGCCTTTGTTTCGTCCATTCCAGACATGTCAGTTAATTTGGGAAAAGGCACGTACTTTATACATTAATGACATATCTCGTTTCTATTATGTGATATCGCAGATGATAAATTTGAAGAACCAGGAATTGGATATGTCAATTTACTTAGGACAATACATATATTCATGGAGGAATTTGAGAAGTTGATGCAAGTTTCTGCTAGTGTTAAAAAGTAACAAGAACAATGACACAAGATGTTTCTTGTTAATACACTCGCTGGACTTCCTAATGACCTCGATTCAGTACGCGACCAAATTTTGGCTATTTCGATTGTCCCTACCGTTGATGAACTATTCTCTTGATTACTTCGCCTTGGTGCAGCGCCCAGTCACACGATGATCTCATCGCAGACAGCTGACTAATATGTTCTCGCACCCCACACAGTGAAAAATTGGGCATCTCAAACTATGTAGAATAGATGAGGAGGTCATTTTGGAAGGTCTCGGCCCAAGTGTTCTTATTGTAATAGGCTTGAACACATCCGTGAGGTATGTTACTCTTTGCACGGTCGACCACCTAAAAATATTCATGTTGCTAAAACCGAGACTGCAGGTAATCAGGGGTTTAGTGAGTTCCTTCAGTATCGAGCAAGTAAGCAGACACCTCCACAAGTAGCCTTTGTTGCTCAAACTGATACTTCTGTTGCTAGTAATTCCTTTGCTCGTGTTTCCCAGTTTACTACTCTTGGACCGTGGGTTATGAACTCAAGCACCTCTGATCATATTTCTGGTAATAGGTAACTTTTGTCAAATATTGTTTATTCACAGTATCTTTCCAATCTTACTTTAGCCAACGATCTCCAAACAAAAGCAAAAGGAGTCGGACAAGCTAATCCCTTATCCTCTCTCACTTTAGATATTGTTCTTTATGTCCCTAGTTGTCCTTTTAATCTTGCATTTGTTAGTCAGTTGACTCGTTCCCTCCATTATGGTATATATTTTATTGATGATTCTTTTGTTATGCAGGACCACAGTACGGGACAGACAATTGGCATAGGGCGTGAATCACTAGGCCTGTACTGCTTTGACTCACTCAATCCTTCCACAGCATATCTAGTTACAGATCCTGCAGACCTAATTCATAGACGTTTAGGACATCCGAGTTTATCCAAGCTTCAAAAGATGGTGCCTAATTTTCCTAGTTTGTCTACATTAGATTGTGAGTCGTGTCAACTTGGAAACATACCCAACCACTTTTTGGCGTATTGTTAAAAGTCGTGTAGAGTCTATTTTTTCTTTAGTTCATTCTGATATATGGGATCCTAGTTGGGTCCATTCAACCTTAGGATTTCGTTATTTTGTTTGTTTTAGTGATGATTACTCAAGATGTACTTAGATATCCTAATGGAAGATCGTTCTTAGTTTTTTTTTTACCATCGTAACAGATGATTTTGAAACTTACGGTTTTCCATTTGCAGGAGGAAGAGATGAAGGGCAGAATTAGTCCCACTGGGTGTGCCAATTTGTTTACAATAAATTTCAACGTACGAAAAATAACTACAGTCACAAAAGAATAGAGTAATTTTATTAACCAATTGTGAGTACAGTTCTGTTTCTCCCTTGATTCTTCTCTCCCGATTATCTCCGTGATTCGAGGGATGGAGCAGCGTGTTTCTCGAACGTAGGATGATGCAGACTTCCTTGGATGTATCTAATTCCATGAAAGTATGTTGTGGATCTTCTTGAAGTATTTCATTATCAAGAATTATCCTGCCACATCTTGATCTCTTTGAGAGTATCCCGTGAGTTTATGCGATATTCGAGATAATCTCCATTTTTAGATGTTTTTTAAGGGAATATGTAACCCATTTTATAGGAGTGACCTAGGGTTAGGGTAGAGTAGCCTCCAAGTTAGAGTTTTGGTAAAGTAGCCTCCAAGTAATCCTAATAGACTCCTAAAATTTCGAGAGTCGTCTTGTAGTGTCTTGAATTTAGAATTTAGCCCAATTTCGTATGGGCTTGATGATTCTAATAAACATCGTTATTGGCCTCTCATTCAGTTAGACATTAAGAATGCTTTTCTTCATGATGACCTTGAGGATGAAGTTTATATGGAGCAACCACCTGGTTTTGTTGCTAGGGGGGACTCTAGTGGCCTTGTATGTCGCTTGCGTCGGTCACTCTATGGTCTAAAGCAGTCTCCTCGAGCCTGCTTTGGTAAGTTCAGCATAATTATTCAGGAGTTCGGCATGACTCGTAGTAAAGCTGATTACTAAGTTGAAGCAACATCTCTTTCAGCACTTTCAGACTAAGGATCTGGGCAAATTAAAGTATTTCTAGGTAGATCAGTGTAGCTTAGGTATTCTGATCTCATAACGTAAGTATGCATTAGACATTCTTCAGGAGACATGAATGACAGGTTGTAGATCTGTTGACACTCCTATGGATCCGAATTCTAAACTTCTGCTAGGATAGGGGGAGCTGCTATAGACGAATGGTTGGCAAATTAAACGGAAAAGGGCCAAAACTGCCCCTAAACTATTGACCAAGGGCTAAATATACCCTCAGTCCACCTATCGGTCCAAAAATGCCCCCAACGTTATCTTTTCGGCTCATTTCTGCCCTTATGACTAACAGTTAATTTGAATTAAAAAAATATTCAAATTCCACATGTTATTTTATTACTGGTCCAATCCAATTAAATAAATGAAAAGGGGCCAAAATTGTTCCTGAACTAATGGTCAGGGTTAAATATACCCTCCATCCACCTATCGGTTCAAAAATGGACCAGCAATTTCACCTACCTGAAAAAATGCCCAAACCCGCCATCAATTCTTTTTCACCTTAAACAAATCTATCTTAGAATGTTTTGCCAATTTATAAGAATCACAAAAAAATAAACTAATTTTTCTTTATTTTGTTTATAATCTGATCCTTTACCAACAATATAATAATACATTGTGCATATATAGATAGATCTATATACATACAGAGTAATCATAGAATTACCACACGTTATAAACGAAAGCAACTAAACATCATAAAAGAAAGCAGGCTAAATATCATGATTCTTTCATATGTCTTCTAATTAGAAACAAAATAAGGTTTTGGTCGTTTCAATTTTCATAAAAGAACAAAGTAGCGAAAACTAACATTCTAGGAAAAATGTTGGCCTTAAATTGAGATTATCGACAAGATATTAATATTGACCATTAGGAGTAACGAATATGCATAATTTGATTTCTTATTTCTTGTGAAGGATGGATGTCTAATAACTAATGGTCAGTCACTGACCAATATTACCCCATTAATTTCGGGCTAATCTGACCACCTCGGTGGTCACTAACAAAGACTAAGTCTTAATATTAAAAAGAATAAGTAAGAGGGAGGAAGTAAAATAAAAATGAGCGAAAAAATAATTTTCCGATGAGATTTTATATTTTTCGGGCGGGTTAGTGTTTGGGTCGGATAAGTTAGAAAATCGGATATTTTAGGGGTATGAACCGATAAATGGATGAAGGGTATATTTAGCCCTGGCCAATAATTCAAGCGCAATTTTGGCCTTCTCCCATTTTTTTAATTTGATTGGACCAGTAAAAAGATGATACGTGGAATTTAAATGAAACTCTTTTTAATTCAAGTTGACCGTTAGTCATAAGGGCAAAAGTGAGCAGAAAAATAATGTTGGGGGCATTTTTGGACCGATAGGTGAATGGAGGATATATTTAACCCTTGGCCATTCAGGGGCAGTTTTGGCATTTTTCGGATATTAAATTACTTTGGCATTTTTCGGATATTAAATTACCTCACAATGACTGGACCTGACATTTCCTTTCCTGTGAGTGTTGAGTCAGTTTATGGATTCTCCCTATGATAGTCACTGGGATGCAGTTGTCCGCATTCTTCAGTATATACAATTAGCTCCAGGCAAAGAGGAGTTGTTTGAGGATCGAACCATGAGCAGATCATTGGATACTCAGATGTTGATTAGGCAGGATCACCTTCTGATCGATGTTCTACGTTTGGGTATTGTGTTTTTGTAGGAGGTAATTTGGTGTCCTAGAAGAGCAAGAAACAGAATGTGATTGCTCGATCTAGTGTAGAAGCAGAATATCATGCGATAGATATGGCAACATGTGAGGTAGTTTGGATCAAACAGTTGCTCAAGGAGTTTAAATTTGGTGAAATCAGCCAGATGGAACTTGTGTGCGATAATCAAGTTGCCCTTCATATTGCGTCAAATCTGTTGTTCCGTGAGAAAACTAAACACATTGAGATTGATTGTCACTTCGTCAGAGAAAAGATACCCTCAGGATATAGTGCTATAAAGTTTGTGAAGTCGAACGATCAGCTTGCAGATATTTTCACCAAGTCCCTCAATGGTCCTTGTATCAGTTACATACGTAGCAAGCTCGGTACATATGATCTGTATGCACCGACTTGAGGGGGAGTATTAAATAGTTAGTAGTTGTATAAATAAGTATAGTCTCACTTGGAATATGATTAGTGTATGTATTATGTATTGTTATAAATAGGGGTTCTTGTATTATAGTAAAACGTATCAATAATATAATTTTCCGTGTATTATTTCTCACATCTACTACACAACGCCATTCCTATTCCAAAACCATCATTGCGGCCCCTGAATTTCTCTTCTATTTTTGTTGCATCGGCAGAGCCCCATAAAGCAAAATCACAAATTAGCATTTTGGATATGTACGTAAGAAAAACACCCCCCATGCTTGCCCAGATAAGTGGAGCGCTATTAACATGATAATTCAACAGCTGGAAGAAAAATCAGTTAGTCAAACAACTTTGATTGTATCCTTAACATCACCCCAGCCAAACAGAAAAGAGAAAAAGAGTGCTTGTGGAATCATATGGTTCTCCTTGCACTCTTTGGGCTATATCAGCAGGTTTTTTCCTGATTGTCTTTGTGATATATTCCGCAAGAGTGAGAAGCAATGTAAAGTAATTTTAAACACCAGATGAATCACCTGCTTGAAGAATCCATAAACCAATGCCACTGTCCAAGTAGTGTTGTGAAGGAGATTTCGTGCTGTACGTGTCAGATATTCATTCCAGACAAACATGGTCTCATAAATGTCGGGTCCAGTCTCATTATTGCACATGTTCTTCTGTAGACTCCTCATAATATGGTATGAGTAACTGAAGAAGAAGTCCTTCGTGAGGTCCACCATGCAAAGGAGTTTCTTGTACCTACACCATGAGCAGATCAGGACTAACCAATCATAAAACTAGTATAAGTTGAAGTCAACAAAAACGTACAAAGGCCTATATTCTTGAGGAAACCGGCCATCCCTGCCCTCATAAACAGAGAGAGAGAAGGAGAGATACTTTCTTAGTCATCATCACTACTTTCTTCCAAAGACCAAAAATTATTTGTCAAACACATAGGAAAAACCTAAAGGAACTAGCTGACTAGGAACCTCTCAAACTAAATTTAGTGAAAGTAAACAGCAGTCGATTTTGTAATTATGTTTTGTTTCCGGGTTGGGGG